TCAGTTACGTATTTGACTTGCTCGTCACGAACAGCCTGGATGCTATTCAATCACAACTAAGACACAACTACATCATTCACATACTGTAATGAACATCAAATGGAGCAATGGGGTAGGTGGCATGGTCCCCTGGACTAACATTATACGTTTTCAAGCAGAGTTTTCAGAGCTAATATGTTGTGACGTCTGGTTAATAAGTAGTGTCCCAACAAACCAGTTTTAGAAATAGAGTTGAATCCCTACTAATGGCCATGACCACCTTTCTGCGACGGCCATTTTTTCTCCCGACTATTGTACGGAAGAAAAGCCTCAAGTTGCTCCAAACGTTAAAGAAAGGGTTTAAAAAAAAATTGTTCGATAACTTTTTTCTGAGGAATCTCCCTAAAAGAGGAGTATCAAGTAACATGAATTGAGGTGAACCGACCAGAGAAATGCACGGAAAAAATCCTTCCTGCGATCACGCCGTTCATTTTTATTTCCAGAGTCGAGAGCCTCAATCGATAGCATGCAGAGACTTCATCTGGTTTCCCTCCAGTTGCATCCCTTATCCCGCTGCCATGGCGAAACTTTGAACGTCTGTTTGCTACCGTTTTACACAGCAACCTCTTCAAGAGAAACACAGGAGATTTTCTAGGTTTTCTGCTGGAGTCAAGTCTTATTTTTACTTATTTGGAATGGCTACATAGCTGATAATCAGTTGCAATTATTCTTTCCTTTAAAAAAGACTTAACGTTGAGCATATCCAAAACAAAATAAAGAGACATCGTTTCTATTTTTTCGATACAATAGACCTTGAATGCAATTGCCCCAGTCCAAATTAATTTTTGATCTCTCATGCAACTGACCAAAGAAAGGGTTTCTGACAAAGGATCCTAGTCAACCACAAGACATTGCGCACTTAATTCGCCATTTTCTATGCCATCTAAATTAGAGAAATTTCGATTTTGGTCTATCATCCAAGTGCATCCGAGCGACTTAAATCTATTTTGATGTCTGAAATTGTCGTGGTAACCTTCTGAAATTATCAGTGGTTTATTCTGGGTAGTTGTGTAATGGTTTCTCGCAATTTTGTTTAGAAATTTTTGTTTGTTACCGGGAACGTCGAAGGCATCTCGTGTTCCTTCACATGGAAGGCCTAAAGCCACGGAGCAGACGAAAAATCTCAACCTCTGGAATGACAGGAAGGATAGTCCTAACATCAGAGATCTAGCTAATAGCCAATTTGCAGATTTTTCTGCATCAAAGCGTCGACAAGCTTCACGCAGGATACATATCACAAAAGGCAGAAGACCAGTTAAAAGTTGAAGTATTGACGAGCCTGCTCGACACTCTTGCCATCCACAAGCGATTTTAAACTTTTGTCTTCATAGATTAGTTCTGACCAGCATATATTTTGATGCTTTTTTTTGGCGATGTAATTTTGAATGAGGTGCCATTTCCACATCAGTATGTTCTTGAGTTTAGATAAAGCCTGGTAATATTGTTTTACAAAAGGCAACATTTTCTTCTGTGTGCTGGTTTCTTTGTTTTTTAGGTGACCCTGGAGCAGAAGACTCCAGACATGTATTTCTCCAGAACTTCGTCAGGTATCCTCTTTCTTCTTCTAACTCGTATTTTTTAGCTCTGTACGTTTTTTATTAAATGTTGAGCGCGTCGGTTTGTTTTGGATGCGTAACGCTTCTCCTTCTGCGAATAATCCTTTCTTTACGTTACGTAAAAAGTGTTTACGGGCCGGCACGACTCATGCCGAGCGTCTAGTTAATATGAACGAATTTCTCCGCTGTTGCCCGTATGTTGACAAAACAGAGGCGTGGTTCACAAGGATCCTTTAAGATGTTACATCAAAATGATACCTCAAATATTGAAGGTTTTGTTAACTTATCCTAGCAAACGGCTTTGAAAAAAAAAATCGAACTAGATATTAGTGGTTCTTTTATACCTAAACTACTGTTTTCACTTTACTGATGTCGCCTTACGTACGTCAACATTGTTTCTTGCCCATTATATCAGAAATATAATTCTTGAATATGAAACCAAAGCATCCTTTTGAGGATGTTAATTAAATTAAATTAAATGCATTTATATAGCGCCACATTCCATTAATTGTCCATGGCGCTTAACAATACTCTAAAAACCGTAAAAATTAAAATCCTAAGAATAGCAAAACCTAAGAAAGCGCAAGAAATGGAAATAGATCTCCCCTAATTTGAGATAGCTCATTTTTGAATTTCTATGAAATACAGGGATAGAGTATTTTCTCTACTTGTTTCTATGTAAATTATTCATCTAAAAGTCTTTTAGCTCGGTTTACTTCGAGTAATTTTCATTATTTAATCTCTCTGGATCATTTTTCCTGTAAAAAAAATAGAAAACAACAATTCGTTTTCAACTGAACAGATATTTTGGATGCAAAGCAAACACAACTTTACCAAGCACAATATGTATAGGAAATCGTATGAACGCGAGTGCATTTCGTGATTTATGGGCACGAGTGATGTTTTGAAAGTTCTCAAAATTGCACGAGCCGTAGGCGAGTGCAATTTGAGAACTTTCAAAACATCACGAGTGACCATAAATCACGAAATGCACGAGCAGGTTCATACGATTTTTTATTTATTATATTCTCGACAAAATTACTCCATCGCGCTACTCTGCACGCCTTACGTACTACAAAAAACACTTCAATGGGTTCCAAAATGCTCACATGTTTTATTTGAACCAATCAAAAATGTAATGTTGTGACAGGTAAATCAAGCGTGAAGTTCTTGAAAGTTTCTCAGAAAATATTACAAGCCGAACTCAAAAGCTAAATTTCAGTTATTAAAAGCGGCAAGAGTACTTAAGCCCGCTAAACTGTTTTCAAATATTTGATCTCAATCGGCCTCAGGGAATAACATTCTGACTTGTAGACTTTGGTGAACTGCATTGCCCCTGAATCACGTTAAATGTGACTTGACAGTTATGAAAGTTGTTCACAGTGAAAGCATGGCCGCTTGTTTTCACCTGTTCACACGTTGAAGTCATTGCAGGAGAAGACCACATTGGTAGACCAGGAAAACGGCTGGAGGCTGCTGACTGTGGAGCATTGCTGATAATGTTTGAAAGCTGTTGCTGTTCCTTCTCACTACCTTCATCGTAGTCGTTAAGAGACTTTTCACTTGCGTGGCCGGTCACCTGGATTATCGACTGCCTCTCGACGCTTGCTGCTCTGAGTTTCTTCACAACTGTCTTCCTTGCGGTGTGGTTAGTCAATTTCTTCTTGCTTGTTTCCAGAGCTGTGTTCTTGACGACGCTCTTCATCATATTGTCGATGCTGTTTACGCCGAGCCGCTGCTTCTTGTACCAAACATTTGTTTTGGGATTTTTGATTATGGCAAGGTAAAAAGGACCTTTGTCGCGCAGCTCTTGAGGACGCCTACTAAGGTATTGCTTCAGTAACTCAACAGGACATCTCTGACCGCCAGTAGCGAACATTTTTGGCAGAACACTACGATGTTTTGTGTTCAGTCCTCCCTGCCTCGTCTTTGTAGGATTTTCTTTAAATGTGACGTACTCTGTGCCGCTGTCGTCCACACAAAAACTGAAGTCCTCGACTTCCATTGAATGGTGTTCCTGTTTTCCCCTCAGGCCAAAATGTTGAGTCAAGATCCACCACATCGTCTGGGAAAGAACTCTTGGACTGCAGTCGCCGAGACTTTGTTCACTCCATAGCATTTTTTCTTCTTCGGCTGTCAGTGCGTTCGCGGCATTGGGTCTCTTGCCTTTTCCTTGTTGACGGAGACACTTCACTTTTCCTTCGAGTACCAACTTCGACTGGTGAAACTCTCGGTCTCGTATAATAGAGTACTTGTAGTCATGCTCTTTTAAATAGCGGTCGAGGGCTGCCAGCATGGATTTTAAACTCTCAGGTTCGTACTCACACCCGTCTTTTGTGCGTATTTCTGTGTAGAAGATTTGCAACATTTTATCGAGTTGTTCGTGCTCGTATTCTTCCATTTTTGGGTTTACTTTTCGTTGAGTCGCCCATGTTTGCCAGACATTTAACCAGATCTGTGTAGCTTTCAACGTGTTTTTTTTTTCGCATTTTCTTTAAGTTGCTCAACGATGTTTTGGTTTGACAAAGCAAACCGGCTGTCAGCCATTTTTTTATAATTTGGTGTTCAAATTTGACGCTTCCCCGGTGTTTCCATGGCAACTTCTCCGTATTGCACTCTATAACCTCTATTGCACTCTCTAACCTCTATTGCACTCTATAACCTATTTATGCATTCATCATTGACCAATCAGAAACGCGATATTTTGTTGAGTATATAATGAGTAAAAATATATATGGCAGCTACACTTGTATCTGATTGGCAGAGAGGCACTGTTGAGATTCTATATTTTAAACTAGCCTTGATTTTCAAGGTAACAAAGGATCCTCGCCGACAGTCAGCGACCAGTAAGTCGTAGCCACCATCAAGTCTAATTTACATTTAATTTATGAAATAACTGTTCTCACCGATTCTTACCTCTGCTTCTCAAGCTCGAGCCTCACGTCATCTCCAATCAGCGTAAACGAAGCCCACTCAGACAATTTGGTAAGGCCTTTTTTTCTCATCCACTTCATGGCTTGATGAAGGGATTCACTGGTACTCTCTCCTCTAACTTGGTGTTCGTAGAACCGACTCATCAGCTACTCTGTTGCTGAGTCTGGAATGGCCCATAGCGCAACCAACACGGAACGAGCACCAGATCCTAAGAACGCACGGGCAATCCCTATAACTCCCTCGGCTCTTATCTCCACTTCCACTGTAACAGCAGCTAAGTACCACCAGTTTAGCTGTGACTTTCACTCGTGAGACATCAGACATCGTCAACATGGAAGCTTCCTGAGGTGGGATAGCGTTTCGACTGTTGGAAGTAGGAATGGGGGAGAGGGCAATTTCTCCCCTTTCAGCGTTACCATGGGCAGCAAAATGAATCAGACTCACTGAACTTATCCGCTCAAGTACCGCCTGCTTCGTTGCTTCCGCTTCTACCAGAGGCGGAACACCCACCAGTCGTCCGACCATCTCCGCTTCCTTTCTTGCGCCTGGCAATGGCGGCAACCAATCAACCTTGGGATTGCCTATTATCAAGGCACCAGTGTTGCTATGATAGTTCTGTGGACTATCTTGAATGATCTGGAGCGTCGTCAAAGAAGGAATGACACGGATCCTATGAGTCTCCGACAGGTATTCGGCTCCCTCCTTTTCACTCAGGGCAGCAAAGGGAACTTTGTACAACCTGCGGTCAGGGACAATAATGACTTCAGGTTCCTCAAGCAAATCATAAATGGGGGCAATAAACATTTTGTAACACAAAGATAGACTTGAAATGACTCCCTCGTCCTCGTCCTCGTCCTCGTCCTCATCCTCGTCCTCCTCGACGAGTCGCAATTTTTCTGAGCTCTTTTGTTCGGGGGAGAGAGGTTGCAATTCAACCATATTTAAAGACCGATCTTCACAATCCTCAATGGGCCAAATGCCAAGACTCCGGAAATTATCAGCCAAATATTTACTCAAAGACAAATCTTTGGGCAACCCAGCCTGCACTAGATTCTCTTCCAGTGATATGCTTCGATAGTGAAGGACTCCATTTGTTTTCAAGATCCACAAATGCAGATGATTGTGAAAATAAGAAATGTACAAACAAGTACACTTATTTTTCTTTCTAAGAATGTTCTCAATGCCAAACCAAGATTGTGGATTAGCAGAAATGTGTGTTTCAACCGAGTACTTCTCTACCATCAAGTCTGATAAGCCTCTAGCTCGACCCAACTCCTCAACATGAAGAGCGTCAAGAACATTTCCGGTGCTGCAAAGCAAACTACTAAACAGCTTGTAGGGAAATATTCCTGAGTCCTCCAGAAATGATGTTTTAAACTGATCATTGGTTCCTAAGAAAGATCTCAGCTCCTCATACTTTTTAATGCACAGTTGAAGACACGAAAGGGAGTCTTCGATTTTATTTTGAAATAAACACAAAATGGCGTAACCTTTAAGGACATCGAACTCTCCTCTATCTCCAATATCTCTGAATATGGATAAGGCTTTCTCTAAGCATACTTCCGAAGCTTGATAATCTCCAACAGCTCTAAACAAAGTTCCAAGGTTTGCAAGATCTGCTGCTTCCCCTTCCTTATTACCGATTTCAGTTCTGATAACGAGCACTTTTTGGAGATTCTCTTTAGCCTTCTCGTACTGCCCGAGCGACCGAAACACAGCACCTAGGATTCTGTAGTCATCTGCTTCTCCTTTTCTGTCGCCAATCTCAGTGTTGATGACAAGCGCTTTTTGGATATACTCTTTTGCATTGTCGTAGTGTCCGAGCGACTGTAACACAGCACCTAGGTTTCCGAAGCATGAAGCCTCCCCTCTTCTGTCGCCAATCTCAGTTCTGATGACAAGCGCTTTTTGGAGATACTCTTTAGCCTCTTCGTATTGTCCGAGCAACTGAAACAAAGTACCTAGGCCTTCGTAGTCATTTGCTTCTCCTTTTCTATCGCCAATTTCAGTTCTGATGACAAGCGCTTTCTGGAGATACTCTTTAGCCTTGTCGTATTGCCCAATCGACATAAACACAGTACCTAGGTTTCCATAGCACGATGCCTCTCCGTTTCTGACACCAGTTTCAGTTGTGATAAGAAGTGCTTTTTGGAAATACTCTTTAGACTTGTCACATTGCCCGACCGACATTAATACAGTACCTAGGTTTCCGTAGTCAGCTGCCTCTCCTTTTCTATCGCCAATTTCAGTTCTGATAACAAGCGTTTTCTGGAGATACTCTTTAGCCTTGTCGTATTGCCCGACCAACATAAACAGAGTACCTAGGTTTCCGAAGTCAGCTGCTTCTCCTCTTCTGTCGCCAATCTCAGTTCTAATAACAAGTGCTTTTTGGAGAAACTCTTTAGCCCTGTCATATTGCCCCAGCGACTTAAACAGAATACCTAGGTTTCCGTAGTCAGCTGCTTCTCCTCTTCTGTCGCCAATCTCAGTTCTGATAACAAGCGCCTTTTGGAGAAACTCTTTAGCCTTGACGTATTGCCCGAGCGACTGAAACACAACACCTAGGTTTCCGTAGTCAATTGCCTCTCCTTCTCTGTCGCCAATCTCAGTTCTGATGACAAGTGCCTTTTGGAAATACTCTTTAGCCTTATCATATTGCCCGAGAGACTCAAACACAGTACCTAGGTATCCGCACTCAATTCCTTCTCCTTTTCTGCCGCCAATCTCAGATCTGATGACAAGTGCTTTTTGGAGATACTCTTTAGCCTTGTCGTATTGCCCGAGATCCTTGCAAACAGTACCTAGGTTTCCATAATCAACTGCTTCTCCTTCTCTGTCGCCAATCTCTGTGCTAATGGTAAGCGCTTTTTGGAGATACTCTTTAGCATTGTCGTATCGCCCGAGCGACTGAAACACAGCACCTAGGTTTCCGTAATCAGCTCCTTCTCCTTCTCTGTCGCCAATCTCAGTTCTGATGACAAGCGCTTTTTGTAGATACTCTTTAACATTGTTATATTGCTCGAGCGAATGAAACACAGCAGCAAGGTTTTCGTAGCATGATGCCTCTCCGTTTCTGTCGCCAATCTCTGTTCCGATAACAAGTGCTTTTTGGAAATACTCTTTAGCCTTGTCGTAATGACCGAGCGACTGAAACACAGCACCTAGGTTTCTGCCGTTAAGTTTCCATTGCCATCCTCTCCTGTTATTAGGGAAACATTATTCTTAGTAACACAAGTTAACCAAATGCTTCGATAATCTGGATTCTTAATAAGTCACTACAAACAGGAACCCATGTGTGAATTACAAAAACGGGCTGAGTCGATTACACCTGGAAATTTTTGCAACGAGCTGAACAAAAAATAAGTGAAGAAGAGGCGTGGATAAGTGCAACTAGAGCACATCAACGGATCACATTCGGTAAAACTTTTCACATAAGTTTGACCAGCACAGTTTTTTTTGAAAACGGACTGTCAACTGTTATCCTAGTGATTTTTTATCTAGCTGTTTCGTTTGTTCATCTTATGAAGTAAAAAAAAATGACGTGCGCTTGAGTTTGACTAATGGTCGCATGTCGGGGGGTGCGTCACAAACTAGGAGGTTTTAGAAAGGTCGCGGGTTTCTTAAAAAAAAGAAGAAGAAAGGATTGGTAAACCTTTTACTACAACGTTCTAGGAACATTTGAAAATGTTGTTCTAACAGTTTCTCGCCAAGTAATGAGCTTACTTATCTGAAGTATATGGCTAAAAATATAGTATTAAATTTAGTTTTTGATCTCGTGACTGTGGAAACCATCAGTTTGCTTAACAATCTTATGCCCCATTCACACCAAAGCTTAAACATGTTTAAAAGTTGTTTTGTTAAACACAGTTTAATTTTTTTTTTCTTCATAGAAACTATTTAGCCGACTATTTTTGACTTGAATGTAGCATATTGGAAATGCAAGTTAGCAAGTACTTGAATCCAATGGAAAATCAAGTTTTTCAGTTCTCTGTTTATAATTTTCATTCAATGAAAACCAGTTTAACAAAACATGTTTTGCTGGTGTGAATGGGGTATTAGCTAATAAAGTTGTAATGTTTTGTATAAAACCACAAATGTTCAAAGAAAGCAATTTTGCAGCGGAGATATGAAGCGTCCTTTCAACGGAAAAGTACGTTCATACTATGTATGCAATTACAGTGAATTTAAGTAAGTTTCAGTTTCTCTAAGAAAATTAAAACATCTTTCTTTGTGAGCGCTCAGCTTCATGACTTATTTTCTTATGCGAGACTCTGGCGCTTTAACACACAAAGAAACAGATTATGACCTTTAGGAAAATATTTACCGTAGAACCCACCGCTAATATCCAAAGATTTAAGTGAAGGGTATCTCGATTATGATCCGCTTGTTTTCAAGTCGAATCTACCGCGATCTCTGAGCGGAAGATCATAGCGAGGGATAGTCTACAGCATAAATAGAGGTCTGATTTTATGATCATCAATTTCTCAAGTTAAACGATACTCAATAACCTTAGTTAATGGGGATAAATTATACGGTATAAAGCCACAGAGATTTGAAAAACTCGCCGTAGAACTGAACGTGTTTATTTCACTGCGGTGGCGATTCAATCGCGTCATCAACCGCTTTAATGAAGGTCTAACGCTCGAAACGAGACTGTTACATATTGCAAACACAAGGGTCGAAAAAGCAGTTACTGGGCTTTTCCATAAGAGCCTTACCTCTCTACAGTTACTGAATAACGATAGCTGATAAAAAACGAGTGACTAGAAAAGATTTTCAATCGCACTTACCAAGATGTTGACAATGTGGCTGATGCTTTGAAAATGAAACAACAAAAATAGCGAATTACAATCGGGACTTTTCTCTACCATTCGAACTTCCGCTGTCTCAGTGTTTTTGGTATCCAGATCAATTGTGTTTGAGATTATTCTCTTCCCCCCTCTGGGCTAATCGAAATAAAAGGAAAAAGTTTCAATTATATAATATTTTGTGTCCTCCCGGAGGGCCTACGCCTTTCTATCGCGTCCTATTTAGGTTGAAATTTCCCACAGCTAGTGGTCACATGATAACATGCTTATTGATGTGAGTTTGGTTTGGCTCCCGCTCATTTAGCAAGGACCTCGTAGGTCATGACCCCGAGCCAAATATTAGTACCCGTCCCGTCCCGCCCTACCATTCAATCAATAAGTACACAGTATTTAGGTTTTGTACGTCACACTATTATCACTAATTATGTAATTGAATGTGAAACATGAAAATTGTTCTTTTTTATTCTTTTTTTTAATAGGGAACGTCGGGCTTCAGTGTTTACCCCTTTGAAAGGTTTGATTTTCATCACAAGATCGATCACAATAAAACCTTAGTTTCTTTCTTTAACTCTTCACGATCAACGTTATTTTGCCCTGGTGCTCCGCTGTTTATCTGGGACTTAGAGAGAACATTTTCCTACAGCTTGAAATCGCCATCACTGCCTCTATAAGTTTATTTACAGTTTTGTCGAATATCTAGGCAAACTTAGCAGTCAAAAAAACAAGAGAGTTCCGAACAAACTCTAGCATTCTGATCATTAGTTTGGCCGCCTCTGATCTCTTACTGCGTGTTTCCTCCCCGTTTTATATCATTGTACATGCGATAATTCCTAACGGAATGAATATCGGATGACATAATCTACAAGATAGCGTTACCATTGCTAAATTTGTAAAGAACACTTCCTATTATCATGTAAATACTGCTCAGTTGGGAGAGATATGTTGCGATTGTAAAACCTATGAAGTACAAGGCTGTAGTTACAAATAAACGCTTAAAGCTGAGGTTCGCGCGCGGTAATCGTTTGGATAACAGCCCTCACAATATCGTTCTTGTTTTTCTCTTTAGAAGCCGTTGATCTTCTCAATAAAGTCGCTCTTGTCATTCTTGTCATTTTTCAGTTTCTCACCTTTACCCTATTGGTGTATTTTTATGGCATTGTTTGCATCGAAATACGAAAACGGAACCACATCCAATTCAGCGAAGTCATTTTCTAATCAAATCGAGTGCTGAAAATAGAATTGCGTCCACGGCGTTTCTGCTGATAATTGCACTTTTTATTTCTATCGTTCCTATAGGCATTGCATACGTTTAAGCGCTACCTTCGACTTTTTTTCTTGTTAATTCAGTTTTGCGATGGGCAGAAATTTTTTCTGGTTAAACTCCCTCGTAAATCCTTTACTGTATTTCTATAGGAACAAACGATATAGGAAGGC